TTGTATCCTTTCTGTTATCTTAGATAAGCATATTATTAATGTAATAGCAATTGTCTCCATTCTGGTAGCTGTGGTAAATGTATTGTTATCATTATAGTAGTTGTATCCTTTCTGTTATCTTAGATAAGCATATTATTACAGTTATAGCCACCTTCTCCATTCCTGTAGGCAAGGTAAGAGTATTGTTTTGGTGGTACCTGCTCCATTATATATAACAGATAATCCTCTGTCTTGTAACAAGGGTAAAAACTATCTTGCTGATATTCTTTTTAGTAAGTAGTAAAGAAATCATTGTGAATGTCTGATCTTTTGTTAAGTGTAATAAGAATATTATTCTACAGACTATTTTCTTCCACAGAATATAGTAGAAGTACTATCTTACTGGTTTTCCTCTGGTAACTGGTGTTGAAAACAGTGTCATAACAGTTGTTTACTTTCTTGATAATGGAGCTGAGAACATTGTAGCTACTGTCTACTTTGTACTAAGTTGGGGTAGGGGCATTATGAACAGTTTGGGGAAGCAGTTGGAAAATTTCTCTCTCAAATATCTACACTTGAATGGCAAGCTGGTTAATATTTCAAGCATTTAATGCTGACTAACGTTAATTTTTATTTCTAGCTCAGCTTGGATTTTTCATTCAGATTTTGATAGTTATTTATAAGATAGTAGGAATACCAGATATGATAAACCAAATACTGTTATTGTCTCTGTCTTTAGGGTAGTGGTTGGTGGAAGTATGAATTTTGTTATGGAAAGAAGGTGGAACAGTATCATGAAGTAAGTCCAATCTATTTCTAAAGTTGTGGGAATAAATAATATAGGTATCGTAGTGTGTTTTTTAAATAAAAAGACTGGCTTAACTTTTTGAAGTATCTACATGTAAATATATATATATAGTTGATGTGAGAAGCCAAGCAACAACTTTGTAATACACAACGATTAAATTGGGACAGAGCTGTCCAGAATGGCATTCCACCCTCTTGAAGATTCAAGCCATTCCAGGTCTTCTGATTGGAATCTCAAAGTTGGTCACAAAAGGGAGTTCCACCCCTTTTAAAATCCCAATTTCACCACTAATAACACATTATATGGATATCATCAGTAGGGCTGAGTATTTCAAAAATTCAGGCACAGCATCTTATTAATCAACAGGACTAGCCCTTTATAGTATGTTGTAGTTGTTGCCTTATATGGTGAAACATCTACTTTGACAAATAATGTTTTACAGTTTTGCATGCTACTAAGTCCACATCAGGAAATATCTTTTTAAAGACAAAAACTGGGAAAAGTCAGTGAATTTCATATTTTGTATTCTTGGACAGAGAAACATTAGTGAATTTCATTTAGTTAAGTGATGCTTTTAGTACAAAGCTGGTAAAAAAATGAATTCTTGTTAGAGTTAAAAATCACATACAAGTTAGTTCTGGTGCATTTAACATATTAATATATGTATTTTATGAATAAACTCTGTTTGGTTTATATATATATGTTTTTTGTTTACTGTTAATTGCGTTGGAGTAAGAAAGCATTGTTATTAATAGATTACCTAAAAAATAACTAGGTTTCTACCTAAACAGAACATAAAGACTGGATAAGGCATCATCTCCCTAAACCTAGAATTGTTCAACTACTGCCTAAAAGCCCTTAACAAGTTACTATTTAGAGATAGGCTGTCTCCATTAAATAAGTTTTATTTTTTTTTTATCATAAAATGTTTTTCATTTGAATGCATTAATAAAACAGCCTATGCCAATAGTCATTGGAGTAAGCCATACCTTGGGTATGTTATGTCATTGACAGTTCAAAGAGATAACATATCTACTCAGTTTTGGTGAGTTAAAATTTTTCTTTCATGTGTGTACTTATATTTATTCAATCAATTATTAAAAATAATTAATAATTATATAACATCATAACTTATCAGTAATTTTGTTTTAATTTCTTATAAAAACAAGATATACATCACTAAGCATTGCCAATAGCACACAATGCTCAGTACCGCTTGTGCAAGGGTAGTTAGCTGGTGATATCTCCAAGACACAGGTATAATATCACCAGTAATAGTTAATAAAACTCATATGAAACAAAATATGGGTGGTAGTGTATAATATCAGCAATTTGGCAATAAGGTTTTAGGGGGAAAATATAAAAATATTGAAATATGGAATATTTCATTGATATTAATTAATAAAATAAGGGTTTCCAAGAATATGGCACTATTTGTCATCCATGAATCTTTGTAGAAACACTTGAACTTACACCACTGAATAATTGAATATATCATTTTTATCTAATAATTATAATTTAATACATTAGATATCTGAGTAACATATTAAGAAAAACAAGATGCTAAGGGCAGGAAAGAATAAGTAAAAATGAGCATATGCAGCTTGACAGAATCGGATAAATAGTTTTGGTATTGTTTTGAAAATATGGACTTTTAGACCACAATATACTCTTGAGATAGAGATATTACTTATTTTGGAGATTGTGTACCACTAGTGTGGTCAAGTATGAACAATAACTTAGTATTTGTTATATCCAAATTCAAGGACAATACCAGAACAGTAATAAAGTGAGTAGTTTTACTTAGTAGCTGTTTTTATTTAATGTAATAAGCAACATTGTGTAGTGACAAAATGTAAAACTTGACACTCAAGTAGTGTGATACTGTAATGCAATACACTTGCAACAATGAACATGTTTGCATACAGTAATAATTGTGTCTTGTGCCAGTTACTGTAGCCTTCACAGGTATGATTTTACATCGTCACGACATAGGAATAATGTAACTATAAACATTTTGAATGCTTTATCAGCAGGTCTGCTTCTGTGTATGAAGTGTCCTGTACGTATGATTAGAACTTACAACTTTATTATTTGTAAATATAATCTGGTGATCTCATGAACAAATGGAATTTGAGTAAATCTGAAAATATTTTCTTTAATGTGATCAATCATTAAGATATAATCAGGTTAACTGAGAGATTATATCAGAAGTGAATTTGATATACTAAGTTTCAAACTACGTGCAGAAATAATACAATGTGTTCTAGATCAGTGCAGTTGTTTGTAGATATCGGAAATATGAGTTTATTACAGTGTATGATTAATAACAAAGTTCTGTTTGCTTTTGTGCATGCACACACATCAGAAAATATTGCTTTAATAAATACTTTACATATGAGAAATGTACTTGTTAAAGAATATTCCATTTTACAACAGTAAACAAGTTCCTTCCAGGTATTAAGTCAAAACATAATAACCACAAATGATAAAATCTATAGTGTTGTTTATGCTGTAGTAATGTACTTGTGATTTAAATCAAAATTATAGTGTGATCAGTATACAATATCATAAACAAATGGATAAACCGCCTTTGTTGTGTATGTTCTGATATAGTATCGATAATTCAAGAATAGCATGACTGATCCTACAGAAACTTTGCAAGATGACATTTAAGCAGACTGACTCTTAACATACAGCCTTTCTTGTCTTTATTAAACGATATGTGAATAATGTTTGCAGTGTCATATATTTTAGGTAATAGTTCAATGATGCATTATAAGAATAGATCAAATAATTACAGAATTTCATCCTGCTCAAAGTTTGAGAACCATGTATTGGCTGTCTTCATCATAACCTTGATGGGTTTGGTTAGCCTGGTATGAATGTATGTACTCTTTTTTTCTCACTTTATAATAACTTATTTTAAACCCACAGGAAAAATCTGGTAGTCGAACTACCATTCTTCTGGGCCAATGGAACTCCAAGAATCACTTAGCATGGATCAGGGCAAACCCTCAGAAACGTCCAAAACAGGGAAAAGTGCACAGGTACCTTTAAATAACTTTGTTGCTAATATTCTGAGCATTCACATTAGATAAAACAAAAAAATGCACTGTTGAATGTCTGTATACTCATAATATCATTAATTACAGTAGTACTTAATAGTAGGGACCGTCATGAAACAAAATGTTGGCCATAAAAATAGCCAATTTAAAACCACTTTTAAAATGTCTTAATATCAATAATGACTATTTCACAGTATTTGCTGAACAAAACTAAAACTTATTGTACTTATAAAAATGCCTAAATCGCTATATCTGTGTTTATGGAGTGAATCAGAATTTCACTATTTGAACGAATTTTCATCTAAATAAATAATTTTTCCAGACAAGCGTAAAGAAAAAATGATGAACCTTATTGCTCTACTTCTTTCATGGAACTTCTATATCTGGGGTGCCAATGATTTCTTTCTTGTACCGAAAAGGATACTAGTGTATAAGTATAAAACAGACGATGCTCTATTTTGGACATATAATTAGATTTGAGAGTAAGATAGTAGAGATCCTGATGAGTAAAATTGACTCAGGTTTACACGCCCCTCACACTTGGTATTGCTCTTGCATAAAAATTATAGCTAATAAAAGAAAACAAACAAGTATAATAAAAAATTTTGAAATTCTATAAAGACAAGTAGGGATTGTTATATATGTAACCTACCTAGCTATAGTAATATAGAAAGTTCCAGTAAGGCACTCTCTCCACTCACAAGATTAGCTTTTCTCGTTTTGTGCTGCCCTCTGTATGCAAACTTTTTCAAAAACGCATGCCACAAGCCTTTATTATCCCTCTGTTGGAATCCAAAGTTTGAACACGTCTCACATGCAAATCATAATGCTTCACCTCTCCCTCTAAATGCCACTACCAAACTATCACTTCACGTTTGGCAGCTGTCAAGTTCATACGTTTATTACATTGTTCAGTTACCTTGAAGTGGTTTATTATTTCATTTTTTCATATTTTCTTACCTTTATTTACTACACTTCACATTTGTGGAGTTAATATATTATTAAAGCATTACTTCCTCATGTTTGCCACTTTATCCCACTTATGAATTCCGAAGTTATAGTCACCACTTCCGGTACTTTGCCAGCATCTGATGCTGTATTTTTAGCCATGGGCATGGGCGACCCATTAGGGGATATATCTTCGCTGATTCACCAGGAGATTGAGTGGTATATGAGCCAACATCTCTCGTCTACTTCTGCCCCAATTTGGGCAGTCTGGCGATGATTTTGATCATTTCCGACCCCCCCCCCCGATTTGCTGCACCTTCCCATTCACTACCTGCTGATTCAGCTTGTCCAT